ATATTCGAATATAGATTTCTACTGGCACCTATTTATTAAATATAAATAAGCACTAATATGGACAGTATATTTTATTTTTGAAAAAGTGAGGATTCATTTATCACCACAATATTGATACAATATTACACACATATAAACGTGCAGAGATATATTATTAATATATTATACTTGGTTTTTATTTATTTAATATAAATATTAAGCAAACCACCAAATACATACCAAAGCCTGGGCAAACTGTCACCATGTTAATTTCTGAGCACAGCTGCACACTCATTCTCCTTGCTACCTTATTGTCATAAATTATTTGCTGTAGGACAGAGAACCATAGGCAGGTATTCAGAATGCCTGGATGTTCAGTTTTTCATTGGGAGATTTTTGTAAGCCTTCAAGCTTTCTAGATGTTTCAGGAAGATCTTAGAAGGTCCTAGAAGGAGGACCTCTGTAAAGCCATGGTCCTATCTCCATTCTGAAGGCTAGAGCAACAAGGTTCTCTAGCCAGGGAAAGACTGAAATATAAATCAATCAGATATAGCTGGAAGGGAAGTCTTCTACTCCAACCCGCTGCTCAGGAGATCCTATATCATTTCAGACAGGTGGCTGTCCAGTCTTTTCTTAAAAACCTTCAGTGATGAAGCACCTACAGCTTCTGAAGGCAAGCTATTCCACTGCTTTATTGTCCTGACGATTGGGAAGTTTCTCCTTAATTCCAGGTTGCTTCTCTCCTTGATTAGTTTCCATCCATTGTTTCTTGTCTTGCATTCTGGTGCTTTGGAAAATAAGTTGACCCCCTCTACATTCCATCAAATATTGGAATACTGCTATCATGTAACCCCCAATCCTTCTTTTCTCTAGACTGGCTATACCCAATTCCTGTAACCGTTCTTCATATGTTTTTGTCTCCAGGTCCTTAATCATCTTAGTTGCTCTTCTTTGTCCTTTTTCCAAAGTCTCAACTTTGTAATGTGGTGACCAAAACTGGATGCAGTATTCCAGATGTGGTCTTACTAAAGCTTTATAAAATGGTACTAATGATTTTGATTCTATGCCTCTGTTTATGCAACCAAGGATTGTATTAGCTTTTTGGCTGCTGCTGCACACTGCTGGCTCATGTTTAAATAAATGTTCACTAGGACTCCAAGGTGTGCTACTGTTTTTGAGCTAGGTTTCACCTAATCTTGTACCTGAGAAAGGCTAGGGGATGACTTGAGAGATGGCAGGTGTCTTCAGGCTGATGCTAACACCAACAATGATTATCACTAAGCCAAAGAGGCAAAATGCAGGTAGCTCTTTGTTTTCGAACCAGTTTTATCTGAGAGAGTCTAATTTGTTCTTATTAGGGCCCTATTATTTTCTTTATTATTCTTATTATTTTTACAATTTCTGAGCTCTACTAAATTGCTGCTAAGGGAATTGTTGATTATCAGTGGCAGACAGCTGAGCTTTAAAAAGCTGCATGGTATTAGGTCAGATAAATGAAAAAAGTGTGCACAGTAGGAGATGATTATCATTTTTTCTTTCAAATGCTTTGTCCTCGTGTCTGTACAGTGACAATGTGGCATTTATTTTCTTTATTTTAAGCAAGACTCTTTCTTGTCTTACAGATTCTGGATTAATATTGATTTTATATGCAACATGATTCAGTAGGCTTAATTATCTTATTTCTTGTAGTTGATTATGGTGAGTTAATGCCTTTTAAATGAACGTGAATGTATAGTCATACATATATACATGATTCAAATTATTTAGAGGTCTTGTCTTGAAGCATTGCCCAGTCTATACAGGAAGAAGCTTCCTGCTTTTGAAAAGTTGAAAAGGAAACAAATAAACTTCCCCACATATTGGTAGTTCTTATGCATATACAGTATCTTTCATTTGGACATCTAAGCAATCCAGACTCAGTGTAGAAAGTTTTAGGATGATGGTCTAAGACTTATGCAGTTTTCTGCTTAGATTGATAACCTCTAGGACCTTTGGAGACAGAAGCATAGGAAGTTCCTTCAATCCCAGTGATGAAACTCAGATTAAGAATCCTGATCTTTCCTGGAGGAATCAGCAGAGCTTGGGGCATAGCTAGTCAAAGGATATAAATAAGATCTCTGGTTTTAAGGCTGAAGCTATGTAGGTCATAAGAGTTTACAAGACTTCTTGAGTCAGATAGCCTGTAGACACCATTGGAAATGCTTTTCCTTCATTGCTTGTGGAAATATATCCAAAATGGAAATAAATCAATAATTCATCTCAATAATTTGAATGACTCCTCTTTTTGAGAACAACTGGCTCACGGAATAATGTGTTTGAGGAAGAATGGATGACGAATCTGTTGTATCTACAACCATTCATGGGGAAATTAGTACACTAAGCTTTAGTTGCCCATATTAGAAAGGAACCAAAGGAAGATAATTGGCTGATGACTTGCTATGTGTCTCACCATTTCACTGAACAAAATGATTATGGACATTAACTGTTTTGAATTCTTTATTAATGGCTGACATTGCATGTTGTTGCTGCTTGTGTATTTTATTTTGTGATTGTTTCTGTATGTAAGTTTTGCTGTCTTTCTTCAAATTGTAATGGGTTTTTCTTGACTTTCAGGGGGTTGCTAGCCAGCTCAGTTATCTCAGTAAGACAGAAAGAAACAGAGTTTAAATGTTTAATTAAATAAGATAACACATACATTGGCCTTTTTGAAAATTAAATGGACAGGAAGTAAGTGGTTTCTCAGATACACTATATGTAAGGCTCCAGGCAGCATGTCTGTTAGCTGAAATTCAGTGTGATGAAATTATATCAGATTAAGTAAGAAGAATTGTGAGAACATGGGAAGAGTCACAACAGAAGACACTGCTCTGCATTAGAAAGTGGGAAGAGATCCATTAAATTTGGAAGTCATTAGTTTAGAGTTGACTTAGAGAAAGAATTAGTCTTCATATGACTATTGTAAACATAGCTTTTATGCAGAACATATACATAAGTGTGCTTTTTGATATAGCTTATAAACTAATAAAGGATGATACCAAAAAAGAGTGTTATAAAGCTCGATCAACTCTGCATTTATTTAAATTTAACAATTATAATGTTTGTTAAGATTAGAAATTACGCAAATAAATCCAAAGGTAGTACCAATTAGATAAACCCAGTAGGTTTATATATGAAGAAGAATATATTGATAGCAAAATAATTAAATGGTATTGTGGACTGTCCAGGATCTACCTATAGATGGCAGTTCTTGTTTTGAAGGCTCCCCATTTTCTTCTTCTGGTATTTTTCCTCTAGGATGAATCTGCTTAATTAATATCCCCTGTGTTTGTTTCTGCCTAAAATTTAAAAAGTAAATAGCAGGATAATCCAATGGATTCAACCAACATGAATAAAATTTCCTGTAAGTAAAAAAAAAAAGAATAAATCAGATTGAAAGGATAAGCTAAATCCTGTTCAGAATTGTTAGCTTTGTTCCTCGCAGAGGATACTCTCACAATTGTATTATATATAGGAGCATTAAAAAAAACCCTTTCTTTGGCTTTTTGGAAATGCACAACCCACTCTATCTGGGTAGGAGTCTACCTTCTAATTCCATTTAAATATGGCAGGTCCAAGTAAAAAAAAAAGGGAGAATAATTGAAACCTCTTTTATATAAATGTATATTTATACATTTACTTCTTTGGTGATATTTGTTTTTATAAATTACCCTTATCCTTTTCCTTTTGCTTTCTAATTTCTCCTTTGGATTTGTAACATTATAGGATCTTAAAATGGATCTCAGCCATTTTAACGATCTTAGCCATCGCAATTAAATTTGTACCAGGGAAGCACAGTGGACAAAAGTGTCATATAAAAGGCACTGCCATATCACTGAGTCCAGGGAAATACCTCGGGTGTATTAATCCTTACCTAAATATTACTGTTTTAGTGCTTCATTCTTTAATTACACATCACTCTACTTTTTATCTACTTACTCTACATAATAACTACATAGAGTAATATACTATATTAAGGCATTTAACTATATGCAGCTATAATAAGACATTTTCTTCTTTTTTTTACAATATGCCTTTATATGCTATTTACTACAAAAGGGTAGAATGTAAAAGCAATAAATATATTTACTTCATCACATTATGATGCAATAAAATGACTCTGACAAACTATTTTTCCCCACATGATCTATCAGAACAGCAAATGCCATAGTAATATCACTAACCTTGCCAATTTTCCCAATAGAGTTGCTTCAATACATTTGTTCAGAAAAACCTCTGTAAAAACTGGTGATATAAAAGGACTGATCTTCCTTACAAAAGGAAAAAGAAAAATACTTCTCTTAAAACAAGTCCAGCTTACTGGAGGGGGGGATAGCTAGTTGTTTTTTATGGCATACAATAGGTGCAGATCAAACACACTTCCTAACTACCAGTGGTCAGTTTGGAGAAGAAGACAGTAACAAATCGTATTTTGCCTCCTGGCATTGTCAGACCCATCTCAGCTGAGATGATTCCAATTCCTTTTCCAAGATATAAACTCCCAAGGGAGCTCAATCTAGAATAATTCCACTATGTACACACAATAATATCTAAAATCTAAGCTCCCTTTCAGTTTCTGTCTCCATTGCAAATCAAGAGACAAGAGAGGGTTTTATTTAGATCAAGAGCAGGTATCTACCTATTGCAAACTGAGACAGTAGGAAAGTGTGATTCAGATGCATCCTACAATAATTAGGTCTTTGTTGTCAGTTAATAGATAATCCTCTCTGCTGACGAGAATACATTAGTTTGCAACAAATGCTTACTAGTGTGAGCGCTGGAACAGGCAGTGACTAACAAGCTTCTGAAATTTGTTGTCAGGAAGGAGGAGGAACTTAAACCGAGAGCTCTTGCTTTTGCCAGAGAAAGAAAACACTGAGCATACATGTGTGATCTTGTGCTCCAAAGCTGGCAAGATATTGCTTCATGAAGATGGTTATTTGGGTTCTTGGTTGCCCTGTGGTGTATTGAAGGAGTTACTCCTGAATACAGCTGTTGCATTGGTGAAATTAAGGGAAAAGAATAAAACAGCCACAACAAAAATGCTGGAAGTGAAACCTTGCTCAACATTTACTTAATGTTCATCAATGATTACAAAGTCAAGCACAGTTCATTCCAAGGCACTCAGGTATGTACTGGTATTTAAATATTTCATCTGTGTGTGCATGTCTACAGCATATGTATAAATAATACATATATACTATACATAATAATAAAATCAGTGTGCCAAAGAGGAGCACATTCTACGTTTGAGAATAATTCTGAAAAAAAGACAGTTTGCCAAGCTTGAGATTTTTTTTTTTTCTCAGATTGAGAATGACATAAACAAATATAATTATTTGCAGGACTCTTGGTCTGTAGAAGTTTATGATATGAGCTGTTTGTGTGTTAAGTTTTCCTCTTTCTCCAACTGAAACCTTGAGAAGAAAATCTGGCAGTAGTACAAGTGCTTAAAATTTTGTGTCAGTACTTCACTCAAAATTACATAGAAACTAGTCCCCAGCAAATAATCTTCATTGTGCCAATAAGTTTTCTGTATGTCAGTAAAGTTTCTTTGGATAGGACCTCATAGTTATTGCAATAAATATGTGGTTTGAGTGATCTTGTAAATAGACTGACTGAGCTTCTGTTGAAATGTCAGATAAAATCTATTACCTTAGAGCTCTTAGGGGAATATTTTCTTTGTGTTTATTATGACCCATTGTTTCTGGAATATCACAGAAAAACTTAATAAAATAGCATTTATAATTAATTAATTCCAGAATTCCTCATTGGTTTTGCATATGCTATCTCAATTTCTAATTTAAAAAATCTAATGCAGATTTCTTGGCAGCTTTTTTGGAAGTGGGTTGCTATTACTTTTCCTAGGGTTGAGCGAGAGTCACCGTGATAAACTTAAGCCTTCCCACCACCACCCCTTTCTCTGTATAAACATGGCTTATATTTTTTCTTTGTTGGCAATATAGGGGCTTTTTTTGTATTTCACTATTTTAAAAAGCCCACACATTTCTAATTGCCTGAAGTGGGATGTTCATATAAGAAGAGATCTCCCGGTGTATATAGAAATTGTTTGTTATCTCTTGGGCATTCCAGCCATTATTATTTTTAGCTGTAATCCCAGGTTAATTTGGGTGGCAGTACTTTGAAAAAGGAGACATGTATAAAATTGCAATGTTTGTTTCACCTATATATTAATATGACAGATAGGTATATTTATCATTCCAGTGGGGATAAAAACAACTGACTTCAAAGTATATAATTCTGAATAGAGAAAAGTATGCCTGATAAATATATATTTTGGGCAAGAAATTCCCATGTCTAATTTCCAAATGTATAGAGTTACTGTAGTTACTGGAGCAGTACAATAGAAAAGTTTTTTGTGCTGAGAAGAATGACATTTCTGATTTTATCTTGAGATACCTCATTTAAAATTCTAGCATGAGAAATTAATTTCTGGAATAAAACTTAACATATACCTAAAATGGGATCTTTGGTTATTTCTTAGGTTTGTAACTCACTTTACTGTATTGTCAAGGCAGGTGACACTCATACCAGATGGGGACCCAAAGTCTGAATGATGTGCTTTTGTGCTGTCTGAAAGGGCCTCTTGAACCTGTGGTTTTTAATCCAACTTTCTGTATGCTAAAAGAGACTCGGCCTCAGTATTTCTGAAATATTAATTATTTCATATGTGTGGGTCTCATTCATTATCTCCCCATTATATAGTCTCAGTTTCAATTCCTGAAGTCTTCCTTCAAGATCCATAAGGGGTACTACCAATCAGAATAAAAGAACTTTTGGCTCGAGTGAGCAATAGCTCAATTTAAGATAGCTTCATATGATCTATTTTGGGAACACTGCCCCAGAGCTTCATATATTTCATTCTGGATCCTCTTCAAGTCTTTCCCAAGCAACATTCCAACCCCCCACCCTCACCCTGTCCCGTGGAAAATATGCACAGTATTTACTTATTTGTTTCTCAGTAATAACAGACATTCAGACTGTTGCTCGATTCACTTCTGCCCAGTGGGGCAAAGAAGAAAAAACACAGAAAATTACATATGTAATCCTATTCAAAGCAGAAATTCTATAGTAAGCATTAAACTTCAGAGTTTTGTTTGGCTGATTGTATACATTTAACTTCATAAGATATATCCATAGTTTTATATTCATAAAGCATGCGCAAAATTAAAAGTAATTACAGGCTTAAGCCTTTTTGAAAAATAATGTAATGCTGACTGGGTACTTGTTCACATATTTTGAAACACAAATTATAGCACAAGAAATAATAAATGGCAAAGAGCTGGGTAGCAATTCAGCTATCCCAAAAAGGTTTGCATGAGCCAGAACAATTGGTTTCCTTAGAATATGCGGAAATGCAGGTTCAAATTTTATTTTGCAAAACACAACTGTCACCTGTATCTTTCAATTCTCATATAGCTTTCTTGATTTTGGATAAACATGAACTGGACAATGCAGTAGCACTGCAGAGAAATACATATTTGTAGATTTTCAATATGTGAGTTAAAATGCCAGATTATGCCAATTTCTTTGTATGACTAAAACATTTCTGTACTTCCCTATACTTCAAAATGCCTAAGTCTATTTACAACAAATACTAGACAATGAAAGACTTTGGGTGTAGGTATAGGTGTGTAGCGGTAATTCAGGTAGGAAAGCAAATGCATCTCCCATATTTATTGGGATGTTTGCTTTCATTTTCCCAATTCCTAAATTATATTTTGCCTTAGTCTTTCCTAACCTGATGCTCCCCAGTTTTGTTATGACTAACTAGACTTCTAGTTTCCAGAAGATATAGCCAACATTTAATTGAGAACAATTAGACATTGAAGGTTACATTATTTCAGTGAAATAGAGCAATTCTAATTAATAGTTTGGGTATGTATTTCCCATGTTTTCAAAATGGAAAAGGTGCAAAAATGATGACAAACCCTATAAGACTGAAATAATTTTCTAATATAAAGTGAAACATAAATAATTCCCCTCCAAAATTCAGGAAAAAAAATCCTAACCCCATCTACACATGTGCCATGGATGTCCCCATTTTTGCATAATTGCATTGCTTCATCTAGTGCTCACTTTCTTAAAAACTGTTCCATGTGCCATGCAAGCCACTAAAAGGCAACCTATCCTTGGTGTAGGGAATTAAGATCTTTCCCTACTTGATTGTCACTCCTGATTGTTCTGTATTAGTGATTTTCCCCTAAAGCATTTGACACGCTGTGGCAGTTTTATCACAAGTATAGCCTAAGAAGGCTATATTCATCAGTCATTTTGTTAGTCGTGCTTCAGGTGATACAAGGCAGTGAGACCCGGCTAGCACCTATTACTTACATTTAGCTCTGGTCTCTGGGCACTACCATTTAAGGTCTATTCTGCTTTAGGTAGCAGAAGTACCCAGTTCTGTCAAAGTCTTTGGAGTTAGGGTTAAATCCCTGTTCAAGAACAGCTGGTGAGGGGTTATGCCATGAAATACCAGGGAGGGAGGGAGAGAAAGAGAGATCATATGCTCAAATCCACTATGCAATTCTGCTGCCACCACTAATCAGTTGCAAATTTGACTTGATCCGGGTCTTTAGGTCAGAGGAAGCTTGGCAAATAAAAAGCCTCCTTCCTCTTTCTCCTATCACATTCCCCAGCTCGGGCAGTCAGGGGACAGGTAGAAGTGGAAACCAATTCTAATGAAAGGCTGACTCTGACAATCTAGTCGTCTATCAAAAACCTGATCAATCACAGCAGTGCTATGTTTGGAAGACAGTTTTCCTGTCAGTTGGGGATGTTGAAAAGAAAGCCTGTGGAGAGGGGACAGCAGTCTCCTCTGCAGGAGGAATGAGGACATCAGCATCCAGCACCAAACCAGAATAGATCCTTTCAGAATTGGCAACGGGGATGGCAAAATCTGTGCCAGTTTAATTTTCTGCTGTCCTCCCCATAAGAGTTGTAACTCTTGTATTTTAACTGAGCTGTGGAGAAGACCCTTCATAGGACAAAAACCAGGAAACTGAATTAAGTATGATCTATATATCCTTGATGCTTGGAATAATTATGATGCCCCAGTGGTTAAGCCTATAGTACTTTGTAATGAAGTCAGCACACGGTACTGCTTGGAACACATTAAGGGAAAGGATGAGTGGTTCTCCTGGCTATGTTTCCCTTCTAACCAAACCTTATCTGCAAGTGGGAAAAACAACCATCTCCCTAATGCTCTCCCTAATGTATGATGGCGCTATGGGAGTATAAGGTGGATTGAAGCAATGCATTTAACTGTCTGCCAAGTTGCTAAAGATCATAGCTATGGGAGGTGTGCTGCACCTATGATTGTCAGTCAGGTCAGTGCTGAACAGAAGTGTAGTTTTGTAGATAAGGACCTTGCATAAGACTGATATCTGTTTGGAAAGGTCAGCATTATGCGGATAAAATTTTCTTTGGAAACTAGACATCTAGTTTCTCCTCCAATCCAAGCCAAAGTGATTAGGAGGACACTGAAAGGGAAGGGATGTGCCCACAACAGCTTAAATTGGCCAATAGGAGCTGGACAGGTCTCAGTTCCTATTGGCATCATTAACCAATGGTCAAGGATGGGCAAATAAAGAAGCAAATAAATTATTTTGCTTATTATCCTGCCTTTTGTACCTTCTTTTTTTTGACAGACATGTCCAATCTGGGGGACTTCTCTATACTGTATTATTACCATTAATTTTATTATAGTATTCTGATGACTGAATTATTATTTATTAACATTTTGATTGTTATATTTTCTCTCCCCCCGCCCTCCCAAAAGCAGTGGTGTGGAGTTCAGAGCATGCAATGTCATACAAAAATGGTTCCCGGGGCATGTTGCGCCACAGGTAGTGAAAGCTGAAGAGGAGCCCACTGTTACAATCCACTACAACAGAGTGGAGTGGCCTTGATTGATCCCAAATCACCCAGTCAACCCTACTGCTCATTGAAGGAATGAATAGTTAATGAGCAAGTAGAAGCACAGCCTGTTCCTCCAAGAAGCAACCACTTTTGCTCCTTTTCTTGCTCTGTGCCTGTGTGTGCTAATCCCTGCTTTGTTGCCCCAAGAGAAAACATGTGCTTGAGCAAGGAGAGCACTGCCGAGGG